GCCGGGGGCGGGGCCCCCCAAACCTCCCCGGGTCTTCGCGCTGGGGGTTGGTTCCCCAGCTCGAGGCAGGGTTCCCCCAACCTACCCGAGCCGGGTCCCCCTAAACACGAGGGCAGGGCCGCGCCTCCCAGCTTGAGGCACAGCTGGACGCGGTGGGCTCCTCGTCCCGAGCCGGGGTCCGTGCGCTTGTCCGGGGGGAGTGTCCGCGCCTCCCCGCCCACATGGCACCGAGGTCTGGTATCTGGGTCTTATCCTCCCCGCTCAGCAGGCCAGGCTAGGGTTTGCGACTCCCTGCCCGGAAAGGTCCCCTGACTCCCGAGTAGTGTCCTGCCACTGTTGAGGATGACGAGCCAGGGTGCTGAGCCACCCCGAAACACGGTACAGCATGCCTTCAGGGGATCTGTACCCCAAGCTCGAGTGGGGAGCCCTTCAGCTCTTGGTTGGTCCCAGAGCCCCGCCCCCTCCCGACACCGTCTCTTGCACCCCGGAGGCGGCATTGGGGTGACACCAGGCCCACCCTTTGCCCTCTCCATGGGAGGGAGCGCTGACCCTTACCCTGACTGCCCCTTTGCAGTCTTGGGTCCTGGGCTCTGCCTCCTTTCTCCTCCCATTTCCTCGCGGGACAGCATCTGTGAGTGTGTTGATTCTGCTCTGGGGGCTCTAGAGCCTACACTGGCAAGATCAGATCCCGTCTCAAAACCTTGGTCGCCTCTACTGTACTCTGCTCCTTAGCGAGTCTGCTAATTAGGTTAGACCCCCTTCCTCCCTACACAGCCCCCAGAATCTTGTTGCGCCGCAGCTCTGGCTTCTGAGCTTTTCTTCGTTTCTGTCTGTTGTCTTATATTGGTCCTTGGAGGGTCCCCAGCTGGTCCCTGGGTAGGCCTCTTTCTTTAGGGTAGCTGCTGCTGTTCCTCCCCCAGACTCCGGAGACCGGAACCAGATTCCATATCTCATAGACACCATCCCCTCTCCTCAGAAGTGCACACAAGGCCACTGCTCCCAGGCAGGTAGGGGACCACCACCTGCTTCTGGTCTGCCCTCCCTGAGGTCCTGACCTGTAAATGTTTTCTTTTTTTTCTTGCTTCTCCATCTCTCATCCCTTCCCATCCCGCTTGGATCTGAAACATACCCCTCAACACTCTGTGATTATAGAGTATACCCCCGTTTCCCCAAGAGCATGCTCCTCCCCCCCAAGCTCCCCCCCCCACTTCTGAGTTTTGAGAAATGGAGACTTGCTCTGGGGATGTGGAGGTCTGAACTTTGCAAGCACAAGGCCTGTAGTCCCCTGAAATGTAACGTCCTTGAGAGGCTGTGAAGCTGTGACTGTGGACCCCACCCCACTCGCTGCTGCTGGAGGGGAGGGTCTGCACCCTTTCATACCATCCAGGGCCTTGAAATATGATCTGATGAACTCTACTTGACCCTCTGGCGGCTGCCCCCCCCTCCCCCCAGTTAAATCAAGTTGACCCTTCTTTCACGTTCTCTAAACCATGAGCCTCCATTCAATTCAGCAGGGCTTAGGCTACAGCACAACTTCCCCAACCCTAGGGAGCCTGCTTTCTCCTTGAGTCTCTTGCTGCCACCCCAGAGCACTTTCAGTGTAATTGAAATGTCCCCCTTTTTTCAGGAGCTTTGCCCACCCTGTCATACTACCGGCCTGGAGGTTTTGTCTTTAGGGGTGCACAATGGGCTGGTTCAAGGGGCAAACATAGGGGCTTGTTGATAGACTTTTAAATCTCAGACTCTTAGCTTGAAGCGCCTGTGGCCCGTTTTGGGGTGGGGTGGGGTATGTCCTTAGGTGATCTTCTGCACATCTCTTTTCCTGGAGTGAGGGGCCCTGCCTGGCTTTCTTCCGGAGCTCAGAGGAGCCCAGGCGGGAGAAGAGGTTGGGTGCAGCTGCTCCCTCTAGGCTGATGTTCCCCCACGCGGCTTCCAAACAAGCCTGGAGTTGAAACTCCAGAGCCACTGGGGCCTGGTCCTGTTTATAAACACAGTTCTGACAGGCAGGCGGGTCAGGATAAAGCCAAGGCAGGAAGTGATCTTTGGCGCATCTGGGGCTTCTTCCTGAATGCCCCCCCCCCCCCCCCCCCCCCCCCCCCCCGCCCCAGGGTCAAGGGCAGGCTTCTTGATGGTGGCAGCTGCGGAGAAATCTGAGTCGTGAACATATGGCAGCGTACGGGCCTGCTCTAGGATGCTTGTCCTGCAGGCCCGGATGTCCCACCTGGTCGGCAGGGCTAGGCAGGGCAGGGGGCTCGGGGTGGGAGTGGGGATGGGGGTGGAGTGACGTCTGTAGGTCCTCCCAGCCCACCTGTTTTTGGCATGATCAACCCCTGTGTTACACTTCCACATGACAGCATCACCTCTCCCTTCTAAGGGCTTGGGCCTCTTCCAGAAGAAACATCTTGTCCGCAAGCCTTTTTTTCCTGCATAAGGTAGGAAGTCAGGCCAAGGGAGGCGAAGCATCTTTGATTTCAAAGCATCCTGGTTTCTACCGGACTCTGAGGGCCAGCAGACCGATAAAGCCCCCAGGTAGCAGGTGTGCTAGTGAGTGAAGTTCCCCCAGGCCCTGGGTAGCTCTATGAGTGGCAGGAAATGCCCTTAGGAGCCCAATGGATGAAGGTTCACAGGCCAGCCCTGCTGCTGTACGGGGAGGCTTCAGGCCTGCTACTTCCTTCTCTGCGCCTCAGTTTCCCTGCCTGCATGCTGGGAGTGGGTTGTTGTGAAATTTGTGAAGTGGAAAGGCCCTCCTGGTGTCTGGCATGTGGTGGACATTTGTGTCCTGGGTACTTAAAGAGCCACTGGGTTGCAAGATGCAAAGTAGAAGAGATCCCCTGGGGTGGGAAAAGGCTCCTCTCGAGGCTTTGCAGGCACGACTGGGTGGCTCCTCACCTGTGTCTGTCGCCTTGAGCCTTCAGCAGGACCCTGGTGTGTACAGCTAGGACGAATCCTAGCACGTTCCCATCTTACCATGCTGATGAGGGAGGAGCCTGACAGCGGGCCCAGGGGGGTTCCAGAACTGGGGCTCCCGGGGCAGTGACAACCTCCCTGCCAAAATGTGCTGCCAAGGTGCCTCTCCCACCCTTAAACACCAGAGCCTCCCCACGTGGAGGCCGCTACGTAAACATACCACCAGCTCTGCCTCTCAGGCTTTCTCGAGTCGCATTTGAACAACTGTTGTTCTCTTTGGGTGCCATCCTGCCCCACCCTTGCCAGCTTTCCGTATTCACTCTTGTTGCTTGCCCTTTTTTATTTTTTCTTTTCCATTCCCCGTGGAAGTTTCTTTTTCCCACACCCTTTCATTCATCCCAGGCTAGCTTCAGGGCTCAGCGTGGGTGCCCTGGAACCCAGCTAGCCCGTCCCTCAGGGACATTCGGCTTGGTGGGGAGACCTCCCTTTCCTTGGTGTCCCAGCTCCTGTGGAGGACAGGCCGCTGCAAGACAGCCCCCAGTCAAACCCTGGGATCAGCCCAGCTCCTCTGTCTGGTTTGATTTAGCTGGAGAGACCCTGCCAGGTGTGAAGTGCCAGGCCCTGCCAGACCTCATTCATCATTTTGCCACTGCTCAGTTAATATCTTCCACGGCTGCTGGGTTCCCTGCCTTCCTCTCCAACCAGTGCTTCTCACCCAGGGGTGGTTCTGCTGCCAGGAGATACTGGGCAGTGTCTGGGGGCATTTGTGGTTGTCACGACTGGGGTGGGGAGCTCTTGGCACGGAGTGGGTGGAGGCCAGGGATGCTGCTCAGCACCTGCAGTGCCCAGGATGCCCCACCACAGAGAACCATCTGGCCCCAGTGTCCACAGTGCTGAGGGAGAGGCCTGCCTGAGATGATCAGCAGACATTTGGAAGGTCTCGGCAGTGCCCGGCTCTGTGTTGATGCCCAGGGGTAGTGTAATAGGGAGGAAACACCCCCGGCCTCAGAGTTAGGCTCAAGTTTGAATTTTGGTGCTGCCTTCCCGAGCCGACGCTTTCTCATCTGTGATGTGGAGCTCACACCAACTGGCAGGGGTGCTTTAAGGATCACAGTTAAGTGTATAATTATGTGTCCAGCTCAGTTCCTGGCAAGTGATTAGTACTGAGTAAATTGTGGCTACTGTCATCTAGACTGAAGGGAGAACATGTTTGTGACTGCCGTTGGTTGAGCCCTTGCTCTGCCAGGTGCTTTATGTGGGTTACCTCGTCTGGCCCCTCCACCATCCCCGTGAGGTGGATGCTGTTATCCTGTCTGATGAAGAGACTGAGGATCAGAGAGGCCGTCTGGAGTCGCCAGCTAGGAACTGGCAGAGGCTGTTTACGGGTAAAGCAGTATTCTCAGCTTCTGCCCTGGGGATGCTTGCAGGCTTGAAGATGGGAAAAGGGAACCTAAAATAGAAGGGGGGATGCTGAGAGGAGCTGTTGTTGCGTTGGCAATGCTGAGGCTGTCCTTGAAGAGGAGGAGGAGGAAGGGGCAGTACTGAGCTGGGGGGCACCACAGGGGCAGGCCTGATGAGTGGGCACAGCTCTTGAACGTTTCTCACTTTGATACCCCTGAATCAGGGCCCAGGAGGCCCCCAGGAAGCTCCTGTGCCTCCGTGGCGTCCCCTGACTCTGGCAGCTCTCATATCTGATGGTGTGTGTATCTGGTTGCTCTTCTTCAGAACATGGTGATGAGTTTTCGAGTCTCTGACCTTCAGATGCTCCTGGGTTTCGTTGGCCGGAGTAAGAGTGGACTAAAGCACGAACTTGTCACCAGGGCCCTCCAGCTGGTCCAGTTTGACTGTAGCCCTGAGCTGTTCAAGAAGATCAAGGAGCTCTATGAGACCCGCTATGCCAAGAAGAATGCGGAGCCCGTTCCCCAGCCCCACCGGCCCCTGGACCCCCTGACCATGCACTCCACCTATGACCGGGCCGGCACAGTGCCCAGGACTCCCCTCTCTGGCCCCAATATTGACTACCCCGTGCTCTACGGGAAGTACTTAAATGGACTGGGACGGTTGCCCGCCAAGACCCTCAAGCCAGAAGTCCGCCTGGTGAAACTACCCTTCTTTAATATGTTGGATGAATTGCTGAAGCCCACTGAGTTAGGTGAGTCGGCCGCCTTCCCCGTGGGGAGGCCTGCGTTCCACGTTCCCACCGAGCACCCACTGACCAGCCATGCGGTTGAATTTGGGTACTGTTTTCAGGGGTGTGGTGAGGGTAGGAGGCCCTGGGGGCTTGTCCTTCCCAGGAAACAGAGGGACCACCGTTGATATGGCTTATCTGCTGTGTAACAAATTACCCTGAAACCCAGCAGCATAAAGCAACAGACATCTGTTAGCTCTCAGCTCCTGTGGGTTAGGAACTCGGGGGCATTGTATCTGCCGGGTGATTCTGGGCAGTCTGGCTCAGAGTCTCCTGTGGGAGGTTGCAGTCTCATCTGAAGGCTCCGCTGGGGCTGGAGGAGGCAGCTTCTGCACGTGGTTGCTGGCAACCTTGGCTTCTTGCTGGCTTTGGCTATATGGACCTCTGAACGGCTGCCCAAGTGTCCTCAGAGCGTGGTGGTTCTCTTGCCCCAGGGTGAGTGACCTGGAGAGAGAGAGAGAAGGCGCATGTGTGTGCACGCACATCAAGCTGGAAGCCACAGTTCTGTATGTAACCTGATTTCAGACGTGTCACACCTTCCCTTGGGCCGTCTTCCATTGCTCCAACGGATGGCTCTGGTGCAGTGTGGGAAGGAAGGGACTGCTTCAGGATGAGACAACCAGGAGGCAGGAGTCACCTGGGGCCATCTCAGGGGCTGGCTTCTGTTCTCTCACTTCCTGTGGAAAAGGGGCTGAAGAATCGTACCCGGCCTTCCCTCCTTCCCCACATGCTCTTTTCTAGTAGGCAGCCTGCAGGAGTGACCTCTGTCAGTGGGCTCAGGCCACTGCGAGGCTGCTCACACCGTGTGCCCCAAGAGTTTGGGGTGATCAGGGGTGGAGGAGGCAGTGCCAGGGCTCTGTGGTCCCTCTGACTGCTCATTTCTTTGTCCCCGAGTGTTGACTGAGCTGTGAGCCAGGACCTTGCAGTCTCTGGCTGCCTTAACCACATGTGCTGCAGGTTGGCGTTGGCCCTGGTCTCAGTCTCAGATGCTGCCCTGAACTCGGGACCAGGAGGCCCTGACCAGCTGCAGTTACCCTGGGTAAAGAGAGCATCCAGCCTCCAGGACTCCCAAAGGGCAGTCAGAACATGCTGGGCCTTTTGTGAACCCATGGCCAGGCTGGCAGATTTTAGCAGGTTCCTGAGTGTTACTGGAGACCCCGTCCCTCGTCTCTTTCTCCTGTCCTTCATCTCCCTCCTCCTCCTCATCCACTCATGCAGGAAATGTTTGAGTGCCTGCTGGATGGGTGCCTGGCACTGGGCACAGAGCAGGGAGTAAGACAGATGGAGCCCCTGCCCTGCGGAGCTTCCTTTCCATATCCTCATGAGGGGATGGAGGTGTCCCCCACCTGTGGCCTGCTCCGAGGGTCCCACAGTGCACCATCAGCATCTCCTGTGGAGGCCCTCCTGTCTTTACCGAGTTGGCATCTGCCGGCCATGGCAGAGCGTGGGCTGCAGGGCCATTGTCCCTTCATGCCAGCCCCCGGCACCCTGCACACTCCCTCCCACCCTGCTGACCCAGCGTCCTGCATGGCCTGCCTGCAGAGGCTGGGGCCCCTCTCTGGCATGCAGACCTCAGCCAGCCAGCCCCTCTCGTGCCCTTGGTGCGAGGCTGGAAGTGGGGAGTGGTGAGGGGGTGCAGTGCCTCTCCCCTCCCACTTACATCCCCGGGACTCTGTGAGGCTGGGTGGGTGCAGCAGGGGCTGTGGTTTCAGGTTGTGCCAAACTGGTGGAGGAGGGAGGGAGGGAGGTGCTGCCAGCAGTTCCAGCAGCTGTCCCAGGCTCCACCCTCTGGCCCCAGGCTCCACCCTCTGTCCTCAGGCTCCGCCCTCTGCAGCTTTCTGTCTTGCAGAGGTGTTTAGTGGGAACCTCTTGGAAGCAGGTTGTCCCAGTGGCATCTGTCATGTGATTGAACAGGCAGCTCTGAGGACCCCGACCCCGTCCTGAGTTTCCTTGGGCTGGCTTCCCTGCCTTCATGCCCCTGTAACCCCTGTCTGGATGCTGGAAGCCATTCTCCCCCTGGGGTTCCCCAGCAGCTTTGGGGGGCCTTGGGGACCAGCTGGCTGGTTCTGGAGGTTGAGCTGATGTTTTAGACTCCTGAGGCCTTGAGAATGACCTGAGCACCAGGGAGACTGGGTTTCCACCAAGAAGTGGCAGGGCAGGCTTGATGCTGGGTTGGGGTTCGGGCTGGAAACGACTTTGAACTCAGAACTGACTGGCTGGCCGACTGGCCTCACCTCCCTTCCCAGATCCCAGGCTTCCTTCCTGCATGGCAGCAAGCAGTCGCTCTGCCCCAGAATGCATCACTGTGCCCTCAGCCCCCTGGGGACCCCGGTCACCTGATCTCCGGGAGAGCCTGCTCCCCTGTCTACACCAGCAACGACTGTGCTGTCGGCTCAGAACAAAGACCGGCCCCGCCCTGCTTTTCCTCCCCACTGACTACCCCGCCCCCATCCAAGGGCCTGGGAGGGGGGCTCCTACCATGGTGCACCACCTTCCCTGGACTCTCATGCTCTCCGAGGGTTCCCCAGGGGCTGCCTAGGTCCTTAGGGAGAGGTTTTCTTGAGCACAGACTTCAGGACCCAAAGTAGTGGTCCCCGTTGTTCTAGGACCCGCGATTCTGAGCACAAGCGCCCACCCTGGGCTGGCCCCTTCCCAGATGAACTCCATGAGGCTGTCATTGCCCAAGGGCCACTTCAAAAGGACGCAGCTCTGCCAGCTTCCCCTTTTTGACCAAAGGGGCTTCCACCTGCTGACCAAGATGAGGCCCACACATTCTGGCCTGTCCCCGGAAGAGCTGCCGGCCGGCTCTGGGATGGAGCCCACGCCAGGCGGACAGGAGCCATAAATCACACGGCGTGGAATGCTGGGCTTGGGGGAGGGGTGGGGGATAGTCAAGCCACACACTGGGAGCTGGAAGGACCTTAGGAGACAGATGATCCACTCCAGTGGAGGGGTGGGGCCCAGAAAGGTCAGGACACTTGCCCAAGGTCACACAGCAACCCGAACTTCATCCTCCCGACTCTGACCCCCTTTCTGAGCAGATGGAACCCCACACCCTTGTGGGGAGATGCCTGTTCTAAACGACATGAAGGTTGGGGATCCCAGCCCACCTCTCAGCAAGGGGAGCAGGAAATGTTTGAGAGAGCCATCCTCTTCCCTTCCCATCCTCCCCTTCCCACCCTTCGGCCAGGCAGGCCTGGGACAGAAGACCTCTGCTGACCTGAGCAGAATGAGAGGACCCAGGAACATGCAGCTGGGGGCCGCTGGGGCATCTTAACAGTGGGAGTCCCCCAGCCTGCCTCACTCTGCGTCAGCAGCCACAGCCCAGCTAGAGTAGCCCAGACCCTCCTGTCAGGGCCTGTGGTGGGGAAGAGAGGCTGTCATGAGACTTGGGGGCGGAAGGAAGGAAGCAAACACATCAGTCTGGCACAGAGCTGCTCATGAGGCCCCCAGCATCCTGTGGTTGGCCTCTTGTGGTGTCAGCCTGCCCCAGCTGCTGTGCAGTGAGTGGCCCTTGTCATTGTAACAACTCCACGCACACCCCCCCGAATCTCAGAGGCCCCCCTCCAAGGCAGATTGTACTGGCTGGGAACTGCTTGTGTAGCATCCCCCGTGTTGCGTGCAGGGCATAACTGTGTTCCTTATCCAGTCTCCTAAGCCGGCATTGCCGACGCCACATGTAAGCTAGTGGTGGTCCCTGCCCTTGTCGCTGGTGCTGCACAGGAGGTGATCAAATGGTGCCAGCTGCCGTCAGTATCAGGAGTTATTTATTGCATGTTTGTGTGGAGGGGCAGTCAGGAGGGCTTCCTGGAGGAGGCAGCAGTACAATCCAGACCCAAGGAGTGAGTACCAGTAAGCCAGGCAAGGAGGAGGGGGTAGGGGAGTGTGTTCCACGCAGAGGGACCAGCTAGGACAGAGGCCTGGTGGTGAGAGAGGGCTCATTCACTGGACTGAATGGAGGCCATTGTGACCAGAGCATGGTGCGCCCCAGGAGGAGGGAAAGAGCTGCCTGGGCGCGGGCGGCAGAGCCCAGAAAACTTGAGAATGGTGGGCTATGGGGAAGGATGGGGGACAACCGTTCCCAGGGCTGCAAAGTCATGGAAGTTACAGTGAGCTTTTCCTGGTGTCTTTTTGGAGGTCGATGTTATCTTCTCTACCAAGAACCTAAGGGGGCATAGAGAGGCAAAGGGGCTTGCCTGTTGTCCCACAGCCAGGCAAGGTACAGGCCCAGCCCACTGACCCTCCATGGCACCTTCAGTTTCATCCTGTGCCCTTGGATCCAGGACTATCTTGTGGCATCCTGTCACTGTTCCTAGCCTGTGGGGTGGGGGCTCCATGGAATTAGGGTCTCTGCCAGCTCTACAGCTGGCCCTGGCCTTCCAGAGCACCCACCTGGGTGAGGAGGAGGGACAGGCCCACCATGACCTGCTGAGGGGGTCTTCTTCCAGCCCACCCCAAGTCCTGATGGCTCCAGCTCTGGTCTCCTGTGATTGCCCCTCCACCAGTCACAGGTTTTTACCTGCCTACCTGTCCTAGCCTTCTCCTGGGTCTGTTCCCCACGGGGTACTCTGCTCTCCCACAGTAGCAGGCCAGCCATGTCCCTCCTCTGCTCAAAACCTTCCCCTGACCTGGACCCTGCTGACTTTCCTGCCCCGTCCCCTCCCTTCCTCCTCCCTCTGTCCCCCTCGCTGTCTCTGCTCCAGCAACACGGGCCTCCTCGCTGTTCCTCCCACACGCCAGGCTCGGTCCTGCCTCAGGGCCTTTGCACAGGCTGCGCCCTCTGCCTTGAATGCTTTTCCCTCTATACCCGCTGGGCTCCTGCCTCACTCCTTTGGGCTGAGCTCACGTGCCGCGTCCTGGGAGAGGCCTCCCCGGTTGCCTGTCCTCACCGCCTGTGTGCACCGGATCTTCCTCCCAACACTGACTTGGTTTTTGTTTATTTTTTGACATTGTTGTGTGTTTTC